GGCGGAAGCTCCAAAGATCTCCATGGATAGCATTATTCTAGTGCATTCAACCATAGTCCACAGTTCTACAGGTCCCAACTTTGAAGGTCCATGCATTTGGTCTTGCCAGGGAATGCATCAGACATAATAAAATAATGGGATATGGAATCATGTAGATCAAAAAGCACAAGAAACTGACAATATATAACCAATATGCCCATATTGATGTATAATTGACAGTAGCCTGGAACCAAATTTTAATTTTCATAAGTGGTCTGTTTTATCTATGTCAAAATGCTGTGTTAGCCAGATTATAATAAGACAGTTGCTTGGCAGAAATGGACTTAGAACTACAGAATTCAGTTATTTGATTTGATTATTTAATGTCATTACGTTTTATGAAGACTGAATTGCATATAGCATTTAAAAGTGCTGGCTCGTGTTTATGAAGGGAATATATTGGACAGTTGAGGGTACAGGATCTGGCGCCAGTCTGACTTGATGATGCAAAGCCCAGCTCCTCTGCCTAATAGTTGTGCAACCTTGCACAAGATATCTGGTGTTTCAGTTGCTTTGGTTGTATAACAAATACCCCAAAACTTCATGGTGTAAAATGACTGTGCTCATGATTCTATGTGCTAGATATTTGGACAAGGCCGAGTGGGGATAGCATGTCTCTGTTTCACCCTTTCTGGACATCAGTTGGATGACTTGGAGGCTAGGGGTTAGATTTATCTTCAGCTGACTCACTCACTCACAATTGGTGCTGTTGGCTGAGACTTGAGCTAGGACTGTTTGCTGAAACACCTACACATGGCCTCTGACCTAGATTCCTTACAATGTGGTGGCAGGTTCCGAGGGTGAATGCTCTCAAAAAGAGGGCCAGGCAGAAGCTGTATGCTTTCTATTATATAAACCAACCTGGGAAGTCACTTAGCATCATTTCTACCATCCTTGATTAGCTGGAAAAGCTACAAGTATACCCAGGTTCAAAGGAAGGAGAAATAGACTGTACCTTTGGATAGGGAGTGATAAGGTTCTGGAAAAAACATGTGAGACTGAAAATATTGCTGTGGCCATTTTTGGAAAATACAGTTTGCCTCAACTGATATCTCTCTGCCTTGTCTTTCTTATCTGTAACATGAGGATAATAATATAAACTCTCAGACCATTGTTGCAAGGATAAATTCAGTAAATACTGCATTCCTAGCACGGCTCCTGGTTATGTAAGCACTCCCTAATATTAGCTTTGATTCTTTTTCTAATTCTCAATTTTGTCATCAAGCTAATGTAACACAGCATAACTAATACTAGAGTGGGAGTGGAATGGTTTCCAGAACTGAAGCGGTTGAGGCTTTGGGTCTGGAGGAAGGTTTTCTGTTGATAGGCACTGGCTATGTTAGTGTCCCTGACTTTATTTCATTTTTGCTTCCATTGCTTATCAACTTCTTTTAAAGTGACATATTCTTTTTAGGGAGAGGAGGGTTGTTAATATCTTACATTCAGTTACAATAAAGATTTGCTATCCTGGGTAATTTTCTTTCTTCTAAAGGTGAGTATGTAAGTCTCAGTTGTTATTCATTATATGTGGAATTTATATCTTAACAGGCAAATTCAGCCTTATTTCTAATTTCTTTGCTATATATCACAAAGTGAAACAGAAATATGATACAGGCTTTACATTTTTTCCCAAAAAGAACCAGTTCTCTGATTGGAAGTCCCTAGTCCCCACTTACCCAGTGAGAGATGGGAAGAAGGAAAAATAAACTAAAAGTGGAGAAAATTGAGGAAAAGTCCAAGTGGAATCCATGGCTTAAAGAACAAGAAAAGTCAAGTGGGGGGAAAAATGAGTAGAACTACTATTGGTGTATTTTGAATACTCAACCTGTCTCCATTTTTCAGCATTTTTGCTGACAGAGGAGGAAGCCAAGCCTTTCCTTAGCAATGGTTCTTCCACACTTTGGGGATCATGGGCTAACTAAATAACCCAAGAAAAATGCTGTGTATAGTTTCATGAGGGTCACATACCTTCTGAAAGTCAATGATTCACCTAAAATAAAGAATTCTTGTTAAACCTGGACAATATGATTATCTTTAGAATAGTTTTTAATACAAAAACATACTGTATGATTTATCTTTATATACTTAAGATCTTCACCTCTCAAGTAGTACAGTATCAAATAGTACAATGAATGTGCCATATTATAATGGTGGTTATATTGCCCATCAGTTACTTCATAGAAGTTGAAAAACAAAATGTGTGTTTCCAAAGGGCACAATGTATGTATTTGCTAACTAATATTACGTGTGTACATGCATTCATTCATTTACTAAAAACCTGTGCAACTACTTATGTTAGATCTTCGCAGTGCAGCATCTCTTAGGGCAAACAAAATGATGGTCTCATCCCTCATGGAACTTACAATCTAGATTTGGTTCAGTCCTTACAAGCATAATCTTTATTTTCTAATAAAATACTGGGAAAAGAAGCAGTAATATCCCCAAAGTATCAAGGTTTAAAGAAAAATTTGTGACAATAAAGAACAAACCATCACCAAGCAAGATATTTTTCTTAATAAATTCTAGACAATGTGGAAACTATTAGCAAACATTCATAACGTCTCTTCTGTTCAAGCTATCTTCCCAGTGTTTTACCATCTTAATAAATATTAATAATTGAAACTGAATAAATAATAATAAATCTATCTTTGAGAAAGTGTTAAATATATTTAGGCCTTTTGGAATGTCATAGTATGGAAAATGAAAGAAGTGAAAAAAATAAGAATTCTGCATTCCAGTTATCCTTTTATGGGCTATTTCCCATGGATATATTTCCACCAATAATTATCATTCCCCCTTTGTGTCATTTACATTTAACAATATATTGGTTAAAATTAAACAAGTCAAAGTTGTGAGGTGGACTCTCAGTTAAACTTAATAAAACATTTTCAGTGTTGAATGAATACTATTATTTAAAATGAATAAAACTTAAACTTCATTATACATCTGAAGGTCATTGACTTTCAGGAATAAGTAGTGAATTGGTATATCCTTCACATATTCATTACTGGAAAATGATAATGTAAAATATTGTGAGTGATGTAACATTTTGAAGATTTATTGGCATAATTACACAATTTGATTTTTTGGCATATATTCTAATTGTGATACATAAAGTGGAAGAACTGGTATCATTAAAAAATTGAACATGTATGCATTTAGAAATAAAACTGCATATTAAACAGTGAGCAAAGTATGTATTATAAAATATTTCCCCAATTAAGTTCCGTTAAATAGGTAAAATGCAAATCCCATAACTTTGTATCACTCCTCTCAAATTAAATGTTTATAGTAGCCATCTAGAAATGGAAAGAAAAGCACCTGAGAAGTAGGATGTCTCAGATATCAGAGTTGTGCTTAGATTTAATCAAACAAGCAAATGAACAAAATATTCAAAATGATGCCTATTCCTTTCTAAAGTAGAACATTTATCAATTTTACAAGTTAATCGCTTCAGGATTGGATTTTAATATTAATGATGATATCTAAAATTAGTATAGCTATCTTTTGAAAAGAATCCCCACCAAAGGAAAATATTAATAGAACTTTGTCCTCCTAACAAAAGATAATTCAATGTGATTTTAGGCAAGTTTATAGATAGAAGTTACTGAAGTTTTAAATTATTGTGACAGAATTAAGACAAGGGCATTTAAAATGATTCTCAGTTGGTCATTTTGGCTTTTTGAAGGATAGCTATGACATAATATTTATCATTAGGGATCAATATGGATACCAGGCTTTCATGAGAAATATGTTTGTTGACCTTAATAAATCTTCAAGTGTGTAAATACAGAAATATTTGTACAGGCAATTTTCTGCTGAATTACATTTCCTCTATACACATTATCACATGGCAACATATTTTTTAAGAACTTATACTGAAGGTTTGATGTGATGGCAATTTTCACAAAGAAACAATTTTAATTGCTTCACAATGGTTATTTCTGTATCTAGTTATTTAATCATCATTATCATCATCATGATTAATCTGCATTTATATGTTTTGACAACTTATTTTGCTATTATAAATAACATTGTAATGAATAAAGCATTTTGCTTAGAATAGATTCCCAAAAGAGAAATTACTGGATTAACAGGTTTGAAAATATTTAAAGCTATTGATAAATACCATATTTTTCAAGCAGTCAGAGTAAGTTTTCTGTAATGTAAAAAAAAAAAAAAAAAACAGGAACTAAACTCAATTCAGGCATTTAATTTAAAATTATAGATAGCCCCGAACTTGCCAATGAATAGTTATGCAAAGTTATTTTCTAAAGAGTTTATATTAGATTTGACGTATATTTATTTAGTCATGGAGAAGGACATTATAAAGTTCTCAACTGCTCACAGTAGCAGATTTAACTTTTATTTAAATATAACTAAAATGTATTAATTATAAACAATGACGCTGGGTGCTTCTAAATCTTGAGTTCCCTATTCTCTCTTACTCTTTCCTCATCTATGTTTTTAATGTTTTCTGTGAGTACCAACATTCTGAACTTCATGGAGATGAAATTCTAAGCTAGAAGGCACCACCTACTCATTTAAGCACAAGGGCTAGAGAAAAAGAGAAGAGGACAGGAAACTGTGAAAGTGCTCCTGGGATGCTGATTCAAGGGTCCCAGGATTGGGCACTTTTCAAGACATGATTGAGGGAAGTTCAGGAAAAAGGCAGTGAAAAGAGGTGAAGTAAAAGTCAGACTAACTCTGATGAATCACACATTAATGTTTAAAAAAAAAAAAAAGCCTGCATCAAAAAAGAATATTATTAAATCAACAAAGGATATTGGTATCAGGAGAAACATTTTTTGGTTATTTTGTTATTCTTCTACTATACATAATAGAGCATGTTTAGATAATTTAAAAGATGTAAAAATTCAAACAAATCCAAATTATTTTAATTGCATTTGTGTATATATATATATACACGCAATTAAATTATATATTTTTTTATCTTCTAGAAAATAGTAGCTGATTCACTTGAAGAAAATCTGCGTTTAGCTCGAGAGTATCAACAGCTACAGACTACATTCTTAAAGGAAAAGGACAATTATTTCACTATATATGATAAACAGCTATCACTTGATACTTCAATTAGAGACAAGAAACAGGTATTGGTTTTTCTAACTGTTTTAAGATAATGATTTATGTTATATATGCACTATAAAAGTAAAAAGTAGTCAGTTTGGGTACCTCTGATCTGACGATGATACTCCACAACGTGGCCTATTTTCTCTGTGTAGGTTTGTTGTATATTTATATCAACCTTTTAAAATTCAATTTTGAAAGAATATTGGAGAAATGAAAAACTTAGTTTCTAATCCACTATTCTATGCTAACTTGCTTTTAATTAATATGACCAGAAAAACCAATTTTTTATTTGTAGATTTAAATATATTATCATAGTCTTCACATTTTAATTCTAAGAGTGGGTGATTTCCCATGGTAGGCCTCTAAATTGTCTTTTTAGTATACAGGCTCCAAATTCTGGTAACTGTTTTCTTATCAGATACGGAGATTAATTGGAAACTTGGAAAAATAGCTGACTTTCTCTAATTACTGAAAATCATTGAGAATTCTAAATATATTTTGTAAAATCTTCTGTAACGGTATGTGGAAAGGTAAAGCACACAATATGCTATGAATCAAAAAGGAAGAAAGTGTTCCATTACTAGTGTTATGATACAGTCACTTCCTCTATGTTCTCCAGATACTTAGTAACAAGAACAAATATTTTCCTTTGAATATTTGTTTTCCTCCAGGATTCAAATTTCAGAAAATACAGTTATTATTTTTTGACAACGTAACCATGAAAACCAAACTGATCCTTTCTCCTACTGGTATCACCCATATTGTTGCATTATAAATCAGTAGTTGAGAATAGCGGTGCTATGCTTATGGCTATTACGGAATGTTGGGAAGGCAAGGGGTGGGATTTGAATGCAAGTTCTACTAGCTCCATGATCTTGGCAAGTTGCCTTTTCCAACCTCAGTTTTCTCATCTATAAAATAAGATTTACCTCACAGGGTACTTGGTAAATAATAAAAAAGAGCCATTCATAGTAAGTTACTTTGAAATTTAAGGGCTGCTATACAACTGTAAGTAATTATTACATTCATCTGGCATCCTCCCTATCTACTTCCCTATTTCCCATTCATCTACTCTCATGAGAGTAAAAGCTTCTGAATACATTGGGAAAGAGAAGAATGCATTTTTCTCTTAAAATCTTGAAATGATAGCAACATGAAGATACATCAAAGTACAAGTGTTTGGGAGGCTAAGGTGGGAAGACCACCTGAAGTCAAGAGTTTGAGACCAGCCTGGCCAACATGGTGAAACCCTGTCACTACTAAAAATACAAAAACTAGCCAGATGTGGTGGCATGCACCTGAAGTCCCAGCTACTCAGGAGGCTGAGGCAGGAGAACCACTTGAGCCCAGATATGGATGTGGCAGTGAGCCGAGAATGCACTGCTGCACACCAGCATGGGCAACAGAGTGAGACTCCATCTCAAAAAAAAAAAAAAAAGAATGAAATAAGTGTGTTTGGGAAAGAATTGATAATACAACTATCTACCAAAATCTTAGTGTCCTCAAACCATTTTGCAGGATTCAAAGAAAGGGCATGTATGTATCTATGAAGAATTTGTCCAGTCACCTCATGCATTTGACATTTTTATTTGAGGTTAAATATGTTCTACTTGTTTTTCATAATTGAGAAAGAAATAATCATTGGCTTTACTGTATGTCCTTTTCTAATTGGGGGAAACAAAAATAAATTGTATGTACACTTATCAGTTTATAAAGAATCACTTGGTGGCAAATGACAAATACATTCGATACGTGCATAAATCGTGGAGACCCCATGCTTTTTAAGAAAAAGCCCTAATATCACATTTTCATAGTAAGAGCAAAATTATCTTGATCTCATTTTGGAATTAAAGCAAATCTTGATGCAAGATACAAGGACTGAGACTGTAGTAGGAACAGACAGTGGAGATTGCTAGGAGATTGGGTTTATGTTTGTGATCCCTCAGACAAATCACTTTTAGCACACCTGTTTCAGAGAAACTTTCAAGATTTATTTGTACTTCCAATCATTTTTCATTTCCATCCTTCAGCGCTGGAGGTCATTAAGTGCAGGCTGCCCTTGTCAGTGTCATGTAGGATCAATTTGCTGCAATGGACAGAGAGGCCTTATAGATGCTGTTAAATCTGTCAGTGAGAAATCGTATGTCATTAGCGTCTAATGCACTGCTTACAGGATGGAATTTGGCCATCAAAAATGAGAAAACTCTTTAATATTTTAGTCCATTTCCTTGATATTGCAGCATTTCCCATGTATGCAGGTTTTAGTTCTTTGGCCAGTTTCGTTTGGGTACACAAAAGCACTATTCAGTGTCTGATTCCCTTGTTGAATTCCCTTGTCAGATAAAACGGATCTCACTTTTAGGAATTTTGTGCATCTTTTTCCTGTTTTAGACTAATTTCATTGCTTCTGAACATGAATTCCTTTTGCCATGGTAAATAACTGTATTTTAATTATTGTGTTTCTTAGGGACTATTATTCTCTCTATACAAATTGTACATTTTCATACTTCTTTGTATTTTTATGCCGAGAGTAATAGAGTAAACCTAATGAAAGAGTAAAACAAATTTAAAATAATGTCCCCTTACTTAACACAATCTTACATACACATGTCTCAAATGTTAGAATGCTATAGTATTTCTCTTAGTGTTAATATTATGTCTGCTTTATTTGCTTGTGTTATTTTTGATACTTTCCTGTACTTTTAAAATTTGTAGTGATGGATATTTTTGCCTTTAAAAATCAGAAAGAGGCAAAAGCAAGTGTGCAAAATTCTTATTTGCCCTGTTCATGGGTAACAATAGAAAATAATCTAATCTAAGACTTCTTAGATGTCAAAATTAAAACTAACACTAGAAATACATGAAGGAAAATCTCTGAAAAACAGATTATACTTCCATGTGAATATAGACATTTTCGTTAGAAGCTTTCAAATACTTTTTATAAAAATACGTCATTTTTAATATTTTATCTTAAAAGTAAAAACTCCACGGGTGTTTTGATGAAGTCACCATGTATTTGTTTTAATTGCCACCTCAGATTCTTTGAGCCTGCACAGAAAGGTAAGTTAAGCAAGCATGCAGATACTGAAGTGATCTGTTGGTTGAAAACAAGATGGCTTCCAAAATGTGTTAAAATACATTTTTAAAATTATATCATTAACCATTTGTAAAGCTTTACACTTCCTTATTACAAATCCCAGTGCTTTCAAACTAAGGTAATGAAAATTATTACAGAATCAGCCAACACGTAGCAAATACTTATGTGGACAAAGTATTTGTGCTATATTGTTTGCAAATATTATCTTTCAGTGTCTCTCAATAATCCTGGGGAATTTTCTATTACTTTTATCATCTTTCCCAATGTAAGATATAGAACTAAAATTGAGTGTCACACAAGATTGCTCAAGTAGAGGGAGATGCTGGGATGGGAATCAAATTCAGATTTTTCTTATATCTAATCTATTTCAAAATTATAATACTACCTCTTTACTATAACATTAATTAAACAGTCCTATACATGGCTAATCAGGTTATGTAAAGCTTTGAAAAAAACGTGTAATTTATATATGGTATCTCTAGTGTTCAACTGAAATAGATTATTTAATTCTCTAGTTGTTTCTGTAATTTTAGTTCATTGGAGCCACTTTTTAGTGATTTTCTGGGGAAAGGGCCACCTGTTTACTTGGAGGAGATTTAATTTTTATAGGGATCATAGGTAGGTTTCATAATTCTAAATTGTAAAACTTTTGAACTAGAAATGCCTTTAGAAATATTGCCTTCCTCTTTAAAAAATAATTTTACAGAGGAAGAATCTTGGGGAGGCCAGAGTAGCTTAGTGATTTACCACATACACGGTTAGGTAGAAGAAATGTTGTCCTAGAACTTAGTTTTCTTTACTCACATTCAAATGTTCTTTCCAATAAACTGCAGATGAGCATATGCTATGATTTTTTTCGGAGGTTTGTCTGGACCAATAGCTGAGATGTAAGCGGCTCTTTTAAGTGGTTTGGGCCTGTGAAGGAATCACAGAGACATGAATTAGAGGACTACTCTGCAGCAGTGTGTTGGCCTCTAGGGAATACTTCTGATCCTCATGGAACATTTGTAATCCATTCATTCAATTATTCAAAATATATTATTAATCACCAATTGTTCTATATACCAGCAACGAACAATTGGAATTTGAAATTTAAAATACCAGCCATGAGCAATTGGAATTTGAAATCTAAAACACAATGCCATTTATATTAACACACACGCACACACAAATTAAGTGAATTTAACAAAATATGTATAAGATCTATATGAGGAAGGGCACAAAATGAATGAAAGGAATAAATCAAAGAAGATCTAAATAGATGGAGAGATATTCCATATTCATGGCTAGGAAGACTCAATATTGCTAAGATATCCATTATTTCCAACTTGATATATAGAGTCAATACATTCCCAATAAAAATCCCAACGTATTTTGTGAATATCAATCAAATGATTCTAAATTTTTTATGAAATATAAAAAGACACTAAATAACCAGCAAAATATTGAAAAATAAAGTTAGAAGATTAACACTATCTGGCTTCAAGATTTACTATAAAGCTGACAAAGATACTATAGAAGATATAGAAATGTGCCACCTTATTTCTGCTTCCGTGCTGAAGGTTGTACTCTCCAGTCCAGGAGATTCTTTCCTAGACAATAATGTAGAATCAGAGCTCTCCAGCAGCCTTTCTTCACCCCACCAAGAGAAGAATTGTGTATTTTTGCTATTTAATCTACCTTGCCTGGGTCTCATTGGACAACATTTCTATATTAAATTCTCAAAAAATTCTATCATCTATAGATTATATAAATTTTCTCATCAACTTTCCAACACAGTTTTCTTTAATACTCACTTTGTATCGATGTGCTTAGGAGTCAGTGTCAATTATAGCAATAAACAAAGTTATTTTCCTAGAGAAATATGAAAGCTGTTTGATTCTCATTTTTATAAGTATTTAGTATTGCTTGTTGTCCTGCACA